TCCTAAAACACCTATTTTGTATACTTTACATTTCATCAGTAGATTATTTATAATGTACCCGATAACTAAAAATGGCTGTATATGGATAATTAAAAAATAGTGTAGATAAACACCAGAGATGCTTCTTGGTTTCGCGAAACACCATAAATGTTCTTTTCATCTAAAGCACCATTCTTTAGTATCCAGTAAAACTTAAGTTTATAATAACAATAAGATATAAAAGTCAATAAAGTTATCTTTACGATGCAATTACAATTAGTTTAGGGTGCCATAATTCATAAAATAATATTAGTTTGTGAATCAAGACAGAATGGAAGTGGTTAGAAATTAAATGATATAAAATTGAAAGACATTTAAAATATTCTTATTACACAACTAAAAACATGCATATATTTTGTTTTTGTGTAGAGGTTTATCAGTACTTACACTTTAAGTTGAATCGTAAAAATAGCTTTACTGACTCTCGTATGACTCATATCTCATTGTTGCTCTAAATGTTAATATTACTGAAACTCCAAAACTCCAACTAATTTCGCTCACATTTTGCATTTTGACACGTAAAATTAAATACTTTAAAATGATATAAAAATTGTATACCTTACAATTCAAATCCTTTGACTATTATTAAATAAAAAAAATAAAAAAATTATAAATGAGTATTAAGAGCTTTTATTTTGCATGAAATTATATTTGGATAAATAAATTTTATAATTACGTACAAAATATTTTCAATTCGCTTAAAAAGTTCTCGAGATATGGCGAAAAGCGCAAAAATAAATAAATAGATAAATAAATAAAATAAATGAAATAAATGAAGTAAATGAAATAAATGAAATAAATGAAGTAAATAAAATAAATAACATTAAGGGATCCAAATTTTGGATCTCTCTCCTGATGAAACTATGGGGACCATATTTCCAGATTGTGGCTAATCCCTATATTTTGGAGGTCAGAAATCCGAATCCCTTGAAAAAAAGATGAATCCATTGAATCTAAGTATGTGAAAGATACACTAGAGATGAATATTGTTTTGTATTTTATTCTTGATGGTTCTCTATAATATGTATAACGCATTTGAATTTAATGTTATTATTAACCTTATTCTAATATTAATGTAATTATGCGCTTAAAAAATTACCTATCATAACAACGTATCGAGTTTGTACGAACAACGTGCCCTATGTCGAAATAAGTATACAAAAGGAAATAACTTGGTATTTAATGAACATTATTACAGGATTTGATCCATAATTTGATTTTAATAGAATGCAGATATTTGATTACCTGAAAAGAATGTGAACGGAGGCAATTTAGCTAGATAAAAAGTTTGGGGTGCTTTAAAAGTATATCTTAATGTAAAAGTCTGGTATAACCTAGGTTTTGCCGGTAAAACTAGGATTTATTAAAGTTGCTTGGTGAGCTTTCGAAGTATGCTTTAATATGATTCCATTTTGGACATACCAACGCCTAGGAGTTACCAACGCCTTCCTGTAAAGCCCGAAAACAAGGATTTTTTTTTATTAGCTATTGCCACTTTTTAAGAAAAAAAAACTCATTAAAATCTCTTCAGTAGTTATCGAGAGAATTGTGCATTGGTTTAGCTTTTTCATTTGGGATCTTATTTACAAAATAGCATAAATATTGATTTTTTTTCCGAATTTCCTGCAACGCTTCAAAAAGTATTTGTAAGACAGTTCCATCTACCTTATCTTAAATCATATCTTACTTCGATCGTGTTTACAATTAATGTGTTCAATTAAAAAAAATGTAAGCTCTTTGAAACAAACTGCATATAATATATCTTCCGTTAAAGGGGACCATTGGCGATGATTAATTTTTTTTTCTCTACATCAAATACTCTATATAATAATCGATCCTTAATAATCGTTTTTATTATTTCTAATAATTTGATTAATCGAAAGGTGTGGGGACCATTGCTCGGTTTACCCGAAACTGATGTTTTTGAAAGGGGAAGTGCCGCTGCCTGATATTTATTTATTTTCTTTACTGACGTTTTCTTAAAGTTAAGTGCTACTTCCCGGTATACTTTACACTGATGTTTTTATATGGTTAAGCGTTCTTTCCCTCGTTGTATTCTCTACAGTGATGTTTTTTTTAAGGTTAAATGCCACTTCCCTTGTATACTTTACACTGATATTTTTTAAAGGTCCAATATACAACCACTCTCACCCTTTTAAGGTTAAGTGCGATTGCCCCCAGTATTCACTATACTGACCGTTGATGTGATGGGATACTGAATTCGCTCACATGATTCGACGATTGTTTTTACGATCCTCTTTAACTGAACAGTACCCTATGTAACTTCAAATGAAAAATCCCAGCATAAATAATCCCTCGTTTCAAATTTTTATTGGTAGGCGTTGGTAACTCCTAGGTTTTAACGCAAAGGCTTGTTAAAAATCCAAGATGGAATTATATTAAAGCATATTTCAGACTTTTGCCAAGCCATTTCGGTGAAGCTTAGGTTTTAACAGTAAGACTCAAGATTTACCTGACTTCTGGCTTTTACATTAACATCAATATAATTGTGAACAGTACTATTCAGTTTTTATAGTAAATTTTAGAACAGAAAAGTAGGTTTTTCGAAACTCATGATAGCTTTCATTACTTTCGGTATGACGTTAAAACTGGATTTTAACACGAAAGTTTATCTGTTTTTTAAGACTAATAAAACAATAACAAAAACTATATAAATGACAATATTGTTTTTTTTTCAAATTATTTTTTTATTCCCTTATTATTTTTTAAAACTATTTCAATGGCTTTATGGTATGGCCTTGTAAAAAATGTTTCAATTCTGAACTTTTTAGATTATTGAAATTTCTAAAATTATACTGAATAATAATTCTGGATGATTTTATCGATTAAGGAATCTCTTATTTAACTCTTTTTTTCACTAAAGAAAGCTTTCGAAATAATTTTATTTAATAAATTATAATCATTTCTCTAGAAAGAATTGACTGCAAAAGAGCAGTATATCTTTATATCTATCTTTATATCAGCGTAACATATCTTTAATTTGACTGGTGATTTAAAGAAGTTCATTTTAAAGGAAAAGTTTTAAAGAAATATTTTCTTCATTTAAGGCTACACAGTACCCTAAAATTCGCAAAAATATGCAAAAAAATATTTTTGCATTTTTGGNCACTTAATTTTATTAATATAAGAGTAATATATCAATTCATTATTTGGCTTTATTATTTGCATGCTGACTAAAGTTTACTGAGAATAATACTCTTTGTATGCTATTATTAAATATTATATTTGCTTTTATTAGTGTGTATAGATTTATTATTGGCTTTATAATTATTTGGGATTAACTTTTATTTTACAGTTTAAGCAAAATTTATGAATGGCTGTACAAAATTGTTTCTTATTGTTCTAAATATCCCGTTAAGATGAAACTGATAATTTATAAAGCCGCAATACTTATAATTTTTTTTTCTTTTTTGTAAAATTCATTTATCTGCTTGATACTTCGAAAGTTCAATAACAAATAGTTTTAGATAAGTACCGTTAATTAGTTAAATCACAGTTAATAAAAAGATAATTAGGAGAATTGAACATTCTCTTACCGAAGGAGCGATGCTAACTAAACATTCGTCTCTCTCGTTTGTTGTGACGTGTAATGGCGGGGCTGTTTACAATTTTGGATCGGGATTTTGTGGTTTTCATAATGTAACCACTAAAAGATGGAACTTGAAAAACGACGGGGTTAAGCGCTTGACCCTGGTTGGATCCACCACACCCTTTTTAATTTTTTTTACGAAATTTAAGCATTTTTTTTAAGTTTAAATTATTGAGATAGAAATAGTTTTGATGCGGATAAAGATTGGTAAATGAAGAAAAATATGGTTGTACTTAAATTATTAAAACAATAATGGTCCAAATAAAAATAAGTAACCGAAGTTGAAACATGGATGCAATTTAATAATTTAAATACAAATGCCTTTGATCCTCATAAGAACAGGTAGCTGACGATAAACTTGGGTGTAGTTAAACTACTAAAATAACAATGATCGCGTTACGAATAACTGTAGGTAACTGGAGATGAAACATCAGTGTAGTTAAATTATTGATTCAAAAATAGTCTCATAAAATTACGTAACTGATGATGAAAAATGGATTTAGTTAAATGGTCTTGGAACGTTAAAAGAAAGTACTCACAAATTTTGAATGATTGCAGCTAAATGAGTGAGATAAAATTACTTTTAAAAATATAAAGCTAAAAATGACGCATGTTAAATGATTAAGACCAAACTGACTTTGGTATGCATAAAAACAAGGTACTGAAAAAGAATTTAGGGAAATTTTAGAGGCATCTGATCCAATTGATCCAATTAAAGGAAAAACAAATGTCAGTAAAATAAAATAAATATCGAGACTCAAATTATAGTGATTTTTAAAAGTAATGTATATACTTACAATATACAGAAAAATTTTATTATTCAGCAAAACTGAATATTTAACAATTTATTCAGTTCCCTTAATAGAGTTATTCAAGCAAATATTTAGTTAAATAATAATTTAAATAATGACATTATTTTTCAATAATTAGAGATGAGAACAACAATCAATTAGAGACAGCAATTAGATTGGGAGGCTATTGATAAACTGATGGTGTCTCTACTTCACAAAAGTATTATCTTTTTACGAGTAAAAATCAAAGGTTTCAGAAATAAGATTCATTTAAAGAACAAGTTTAAATATGAGAGTGAATCATCATTGAATAAGCAATTATATTATCTTTTTAAGTTTATCGAATATTGCTTTATAAAATAGGATTTTTCTTTATATTTAAGATATAATTTTATTTAAAAAAAATGATTCATTCAATTAAAAGTATAATTCAAAATAATTGGGAGAGAGTTATCCTTGAATAACTTAACATTAGTTTGTTATAATTTAATTTTCAGTTTTTTATCTTTATTGTAAGTTGTTTTGTAAAATAGAATTTTTTTTCTTTATGTTACAGGTATAATTTTTTTTAAAAACTGAATTCAAGCAAAAATTGTTTCATCCAATAGTGAAAATGGATATTGTTTGGATACAAGCTTCATAGTCTGTTCTTGATGTTATAAATCAGAATACAGATTTAACTCGTAAGTAGCAAATTTAATTTAAAATTACACGTAGTATAAAATGTTTGATCATACATTGTGTTTTCTTGAAGTACTTATTCGGCACAAATATGTGCAGTGTATTAATGTGTGTCATATAATTTATTTCAATTAAATTAATTTTTTTAAACATTTTTCATTATGTGTCCAATGCAAAAATAAATTATTTCAGAGTTCTAATAAAATTATTTTTATGTTGTTTTGATTAGTATAATACCATTAGCATCATTAAAATAATGTTATATGCTTTAAAATTAATATGATATAAAAGAATCTTAGCTTAGTTAATCGTGTAAACTAATTTAACATGTTATATGTATGTTCAAATTACGCATTTAACTAACAGATTACCCCTTTTTTTAAAATGTTTGTTTGAAAATGAAGGTAGAGTGCGCTTGATGATAATAATAAATAAACTTTACTCTTTAAACAAACCTTTAAATGAAGCCTTTAAATTTGAATATCTTTTGATCACATATTTATGCACTTAAATACTTAAGCATATCTAGGGCGCTTATGTTGAATTAATCAGTAAAAACTTTAGAACAGGCAATAATTTAAGAAACGAAATCAGACTTAATCTGTTATCCTATTTCTTAAAACAGATTTTTTTAAAGTAAAATGCGAATGAATTAAAATAATAAGAATATAATTTATTTCCTTAAACGGTTTTAACTTGAAAGGTATAAAGAATATTCTGAATTTGCAAGATATGATCCCAATATCTCAATCAGCAAAATTTTGTGTCCTTAATATCTGTATTTGTGCGCACTTATGATGCGTTATTCGGTGCATCATCATTATTTTCGTACACCTAATCTAGAAATTACTCATCAATAAATATAACTAGATATAATTTTACGCAAAGCTTAAATTTTTAATAATTAAATTTTTATTATTTAACTTTATAATAACTTAAAGCACCTTCAAAATGTAAAATATAAAAAGTTTCACACTCGCATAAACTGCCTAATTTTATATGGTGAATTATAAAGCTTGATCAAAACTGTTTGAAAAATTTAACTGAAATAAAACTTTAAAGAAATATTTCTCATGAATCATTATACCATTTTCCTTTAAACACATTACTATTCTCTAAAACGCTGGTAAATAAATAAGTTGAATATAATTTATAATAATGCTCATAAAAGAGTATTTTATTAAAGATTTTGATTTGATTATTGAATATCAAATCAACTGTTCTTTTAAAAGATATTAAGCAACAACAAAGAAATTCACACATACAGTTCGATTGAGCGATAAGGATGAAAATAAAACGTAGCTACGACATGAAAAGTTGGAACGTAACTCTGTTAAAAAAAAAAGAGCCAAAATTTTTGAAGGAATTAATATGCTGGAAATTTTTGCAGGATTTAATTTCTTTTGTAATTTGAAAGATAATTCAACAAACAATTATAATTTAATCACTGATTTTGACCAATAATTGATCTCTAATTCACGACAATGACAATTCAAAAAATCATAATTTCCGAAATGCGTGAAAAGGATAACTTTATTATTTATTTTCATAATTACTATCATTAGTAAAACTGATACCTACTAATTACTAGTATTTTTTTTAACTAAAATGCTGGATGTGCAGAAAATAATTTAGTTTCCTGATATTAATACTAATCTAATTACTAATGGTAAGAATACGCATTTTCTATTAGTTGCTTTTACACTTTACAATAGAGGTTTCATGTCTAAAAAATGCTAGATAGATGAATGAAAAGTATCTGAAGCAAAAAATAATCACGAATTATTTAGTATGAAGGAAGATGAAGTGATTGGAAATTAAAACTTAATACTTTATAAACCTATTTTGCTTTCAAATTTTATTTTGCGGGAAGATATGTTACAAAAAATTTTGTTCACATAAAAAAATTATGCTTTCACTTTAAACTGCGTAAAAAAATATTCTCCATGTTTCATGGACATTGGATGTTAAAAAATGTCTCTTAAGAAACCTTAATTTTATAGAAGCATCTTCCCTAATATATTAATAATTTATTTTAATAAAACAAAACAGGAGAAGCATTGTTTTCATTAAATTTTTTTATCTTCATGTTGTATTGTCATAAAATAATTGAAATTTATTTAATTCATTTTCTTTATTTCTAATTCAATATAAATAATTTTCCATATTTATATCCTGCGTTGTATGCAGAATTGTGTTTTAAATTTTTCCCTCTTTAAATAAAGTTTCTGGCCACAGCAGTTAACTAATAAGTTTCGAAAGAATCAAGTATAGGGCTGTGTGCTGATGTTGTTGCCAATGAATCGAATGAAATGCTTTCTCGATGCACTTTTACCAAAAAAATATTAGTTTACTATTGTTTGTATCAATACATTAATAGATGTTGCCATGTGAATTAAAGATCACATTTATAAATTCAAATTATTGTTACTGAAGCTACAAGAATGAAGATCCACACTGTTGGAAATTTCTCCTTAAAAATGCTTAAATATCTATTTTACCCAAATGTTAAATGTTAAATGCTATTTTACCCAATTCAACAAAAACAGTCAAATAACCATAAAAAAGTAATATTCAAACTGTTAAGTGTGAGAAATCCGTTTATTGATTGTTTTTACGATTTAACAGCTAGAGTTCCATCTGCGTCAACTAGGCTCACCTTATAAAGCCCTTTTGTTTTGTGCGGCTGTGCACATACTGTAGCTGAGAGGGGTCAATCTCATGGCCGATAGAACTGCAGTTCGAATCCCAGCGTTGATACCAAAATATTTTCCTTTAATTCATGAAGAGATTTTAGTGCCCTCTTCAGTCCATTAGCCTTGACTATAAGAATACGAAACTATCAGAGCATAAATGACGCAGAACTCAAAGAGCTCCAATGTACGTTTTATTTTTACGGTTTAGGAACTATGCTACTTGTAAATGGATATAAAACTGTATACTTTTGCACTCACGGTTTTTTAACTGTACCATTTTTAAACAGTTTACAAATCGTATTGGTAAAGAAATGTTCCTAACCATGCGAGTTATGGTTAATTGGAAAGACACACAGCTGCCGATTATATTACCGTAATTTCAGAATTAAAATTCTAACAGTGCAGGAATAGATTTTTTATTGCAATGGATGAGAAATAATTACATATTAGTCTAAAATGTAGTGAATAAGTAAGTTTTCATTCGATGTTTTACTATCTAATGTTTCAGACGAGATACAATTAGTTATTTAATGTGTTGGTGAAAACCAATTTTCGCTGAAGTTTGTTTAATCATAAGTATTCCTTTACAGCAAAATATATCAGTGCAAGCAATTTTTAAGAACAAATAATGTTTATTTCAGTTGTATATTCTATAACAAAAGGAATTGTTTAAAAACAATGTATATATGAGGTGTTCCATCATGTATTTTTAGAATAAAAATTAAAAATTATAACAAAAAAAGACACAATGGGGGGTTGCAAAATTAAAAACTGAGCAAGCAAAAAAAAAAAAAAATCGCTATCGAAGTCTGACAAATCACAAATAACAAATGTAATAAACATCAAAAATCGAGATCAAAACTTTTTGAGCTCTAATAATCGTCTTTTGACTCCTCTCTGATTCCTATCGCAATTAAACTTAACTTGCTGTTTATTTCATAGCCGATATTTGTCAACTTTTGATATTGTTTCTATAAATTATAATTATTCATTACAATAATTGAAAACCATCCGATAAGATTAAAAAAAAAATATGAAAAAAATAGACTTTTTTTACGCACTGTCAGTCTTTACTGACATCAATAGGTATATAGAAAATACATAGTAAAATTATGAAAATTTCATATTTTTGCTCTGCAAGTAATAGTTTTTAATACATTGGAAAACTAGAGCTTTTAATTTTAATTTAATATTCCAATTGCGCTAACTTGTACAGTGAATAAAATTATCCTTTTTAAAATGCATATATATATTTCATATATATGCGTATACCTCCTGGACATGGGCCCAACGCAATGCTAACCAGCCTATCACAGTCCCAGAAATAAATAAATTTTTTTATAATAAGAAATATTTATATTTAAAGAAATTCTGAAATTTTCACAAAAAATCAGTGTGAGTGTGTAATGTTTTCAAGACTTTTAAAATTATATATATTTTCAAGTTCTATGAGGAAAAGATTTATTTTAAATTCTATGAAGTGTCCATGAATGAAATATTTCAGCTTTTCCACAGAATATTTTAACATTCAATTTATAGTTTTAATATATTATCGTAATTGTGACCCTGAAAATAAAACGAGTACAAAAAGTTTTTTCATTGCTTGCAGGACTTGAATGCTTACTTGCTTCATCAATTTTATTTTTCTGTATGTTATTCAAAAAGGAAACAGAAAACATGATTACACCGAAAAAGTAGTCTTACAGAATTGTGGATGAAATTGATTGTTAAAGATTTAAAAACGAAATAATGTGTAATATTAACTTTTTTAAATTCCGCAATATCATAAAATAAAATTAGATTTTATATTTAGCTGAGAGGGTCATTTACAATATTTTTATTATAACATATTATTTTTAAAATTTTTTTCACCCAAATTCAATGCGTATTTATACAATGAGTGAATGTAATTTAAAAAGAATTTATTTGTTGCTTCCTAATTTAAGTAAAATGCTAAATTATTTGAACATAGTGTTAAAATTTATTTAATAAAGCAACATATTTTTTTAGAATGGAGCATCTTAATTTTGCAGATGTAGTTTAACTGTAATAAAATCAATTTGAATAAGTTAAATAAGTTAATTAGAATTATAAAATATATTGCTAAGAAATGTAAATTTGTGATTGTTGCCAAGTAAGTTGAGAGTGGAGATTTCTGAGCGCATATTATTATAACCAAGCAGATGTACTGCAGAAAATTAACAGAACAGAAACAGAAGAAAATTAACGCATATACCTTTGCAAAAATTTATTTTCAAGTATATATTAATATGCTGTTTAACATATTAATGAATTCTAAATAAAGA